CTGATGGAAGGAGATTGTCACATCTTTCTCCTGTGGAGCAACTGATGGGTCTAGACTGCTGAAAATTAGCAGTCTACTGCTTAAGCACTGCACCACACGGGCCTCAGTGTTCATCCAAGGGGTAGAAACTCTTTAGATCACAAATCAAGAACCTTCACAGAAGATTTCACAACTGAGTTCTCCAGACAACTGGAGATAAAGTTCCCTGGCCGTCTGAGAAAAGCTGATAAGTGAAAATGAAACTGGTTTTTCTGTTGGCTATTTGAGACCTTTTATTACTGTTGTTGTTGTTGAATAGGCCCAAACTGGAGGCAACTGTTAAGAGAATGAAATATTGCCTGGTGATGCACCGCCTCTCTTAATCTTAGGTACGTCTGACTGTTGCTATGGCCTTTGTATCCATCTGCCTGAGTGCTTCTTTCATTTTTGTTTGTCTCCTACTGTATCAAATGTGATGTCCTTTTGTAACACTTGGTCTTTCCTGATGATGTGTCCAAAGTAAGTGAGGCAAAGGCTGGCCACCTCCAAGGAATATTTTGGTTCTATTTCTTCTGAGATGAATTTGTCCTTTTGGTGGTAGGGTTATGTGCCATCAAGTCAGAAGCAAGTTGAAGCTGACCCTCCAGCAGGTTTCAGAGGCTGTAAATTATATGGCAGGAGAGTGACCACCCTTCCCTCAGAGCAGCTTGGGGATTTGAACAACATGGGTTTGGGTTGGCAGGGCAAATCCTTACCCATGGGGCCACTGGAGTTCCCTGTACTTTGTAGTCCATGGTATATTCAATATGATAATTCAAATACATCAGTTTTTCTTCTATCTTCTTTTTAACTATGTAGGTTTAGTATGCATATGAATCCATGGAATAGATCATGGCTTAAGTCACGAACATCTTAACTATCAAACTGACATCTTTGCTTTCTTAAAAATTTGTTGTTGTTTTGTACAGTTGAGTTGGAACCCATAGCTGACCCTCCAGTGGGTTTTCAGAGGCTGTTAAATGTACGAGAGGAGAATGCCTATCCTTCTCCTCTGAAGCAGCTGTGGATTTCAACCACAAGGCTTTGGGATTGCAGCTGAGTTTCTTACCACTGGGCCACCAGAGCCCCTTCTTAAAACTTTAAGAGGTTTTTTTTTTTTTTTACAGCTGATTTGCCCAGTGCAATGTATTGTTTGATTTCTTGAAGGCTGCCTCCATGGAAGCTGACTGTCAACCCAAACAGAACAAAATCAATGACAACTTTTAGGCACCGTGAGACCACAGGTGCCATCTTGATGCCCTGGGAGTGTGTTTTTCATAGAATGTCTACAGCATAGTTTGGAAAAGATCAAGGCAAGAGCACCATCAATAAGAAGAGCTCTTGTCCCGGACTGAATGGCCTTCCAAAAAAGAATCCTTCACTTTGATTCTGTCTGGAGTTAAAAATGACTTGATGGTGGCTAGGGTCGGGAATGGGCTTACGGTGAATTCATCCGAGGGGGAGGAAGACAAATTCTGACTTGCTTTGGGCAGCAGGGGACTGGGTTGTGTCATAGGCTTCTGAGTCAGAACAAAGCTACCTTCCAGATCTAGTGGTGCCCAGATTGCGTATCCTCTACCTGAGCTCTTGAGCCTCTGTCCTTGCGTCTGTAATGCCAGAACCTGAGTTTCACTCTCATCATCAGTGGATCACGCTGTGCTCATTTTCCTGTTTTAGCTGCCTTCTCCAGCAGGACTTTCAAAGTTTCTATTACTATATATCCCACCCAGAATGCTCCACAATAAGATAAACTCCCAGGCAATGTCTCTAAATGACCTTGCCCCAGTCTGAGATCCAACATCACACGCTGTATTTATCTATTTTCTAGAAATTAAATTCATGTACCAAAGGTCAGGTAATAAAATAATCAGGGGGGGAAAGCAGGCTTTCTGAACTTTCAATAAGAGTATAAAGTTTAGAAATCTTTCACCTAAAAATTGTGTTTGTAAATATAACTATAAAGCTTATGATGGAATATTGTTGTTGCTGTTGTACACCTTTGAGTTGGAATTGACCCATAGCTGATTCTCCAGCAGGTTTTTAGGGCAATAAACCACACAGGAGAGTGCCTATCTCTCTCTCGTGGAGTAGCTGATGGATTTGAACCTCTCACCTTTGAACTGGCAGCACAATTCCTTACCACTAAGCTATCAGAGCTCCCTCTATTTGATTTGTTTTTTTTTAAAATTATTAAGAAAAGCTATTTTGGTATACAATAAAAGAAAGTGAATATAATCAACACTGTGATTTAGTAGAAAGAAGACCAAATCTGGAATCAAGAAACTTAATTGGAGCCCTAACTCTATAATTTGCTTATCTCTCTAAACCTCTGTTTACTTATTTATATGTGGGGATGATAATACATGCCAACGTACTGTATTAAACACAAAGTTCCAAACAAACGTGAGCTATGGCTGACACGCCCATCTTCACATACACTCCCAAAGAGATGGCTACTTCTGATGACCACTATCCACAACTACAACTAGTGCCAGAAACTTCCTCCTCTGTGAATGGGGCTTCTGATCCATTTTGAGGTCCTTGGTTCTTAGTGTATTCTCTTGACCTAAATTTGGCTGACCCTTTTGGCCACGGAGTAGTCACAGGGCCGAGGGCTGACCGAGGGCGGGGCTGGAAATGACTGCAATCTCTTTATAGCCAAGGAATTCTTGCATGCATGACTGCACGGGGAGCATGAACTCTCTGGCAATGAAGAGTAAAATCTCACTCCAAACATACGATTCCATCCACAGCACTTTCATTGATGGAACACACACATACTGTTTTGAATGGTAATTGAATAAGCACAGCATGAAAGAAAATGGTTGCCTTTCTTTGGATAAAAACAGGCCACTACTTGTCCAGAAAAGCCTCCTCTTTTCATTTCTCATGCTTCGCTTTCCTTTTTTATTTCCTTAAGAGAGGCCACAGTTTTTACATGCTGAAACTTAGATACTGATAAAGGGTTACAGTGCTTTCATAATTAATATTCTCCAACCTCTTACAGTTCCTCTTATATATGTGAAAAAAGAGAGTGTGGAAAAAGACTGACTCAGAACATCAAGGAAAAGACTGAATCATGATATAAAAATAATCCCCCTAAATGGTCTCCACCTCCACCAGCCTATGTCATGAGAGGTAATACACACTCACTAGAGAAAAGAGTTGTTCTATACACGCCATGAGAAGAAAGTGCTTTGTGTGTGTCTCCAGACATATCCTTGAGCCAGGCTGGGAAACGCATTGACAGACGGAGGATGATGTCAAATCATGTTTTACTTGGTCCAACAATTTCGCAGGACATTGAATAACGGGTATTTAATTTATAGAAAAAGGCATTTTTCTCTTCTATATAAGACTTTACTTGGGAGAGTAGATAAGGAACAATTTATCACTAATCCCTCCATTCTAAGATATAGGAACAGACAAATAAGAGTTTTTCTGAACACAAGAATATGTGCACAAAGACCTTTGTTTTCATCAAGAAAAACCAAATGGAGTTTTTCAAACGTCAAATGCATTAACTGTCGAAAGCAAAAGGTCATACCAGATTGGTTTTATTGGAAAAAAAAATAAAAAAGAAGTTGATAAAAGCTCATTCTCTTTCTAAAACTAATTAAAGAAGCAGATGAAAGAACTTTGCTTTGGTAAACACGTTGTTCACTGAAGCAGGCTTCCATTTAATTTCATGGTGGGCTTGCTTAATTATTGCAGAGAACCCAATTGTGAGGCTAGTACACTGATGAGTATACATGTATGCATGCCTGGGTTGTGCTATTGAAAAAAAAATTCATTGAAAAAGCAGGAAAATTCAATTAAGACACATCTTTGCTTAGACGATGATGATCTAAGGAGCAGATGTTCCATCTAGGTAAGAACTCTCTTGCTTCTTGAAAGTCATTTTGCTCTGCGTGTCTAAAAATTGTGTACACTGAGCTGTGAGAGTTAAGCTGTGAGTTGTTATTCACCATCAAGATATAACTGACTCAGAGCTGACTCTCCAGCAGGTTTTCAGAGGCAGTAAATCGCACAGGAAGAGATGGCTCATCTTTCTCCCGTGGAGCAGCTGGTGGATTTGAACTGTGTGCCTTTGTGTTGCCAGCACAACTCCTTACCAATATTTTGCTATTTCTAGCAGATGAATGATAGGGAGTTCAGGTGGCCTAAGGGGAAAGAATCAACAGCTGTTCCACGAGAGAAGGACAGGCCATTGTCTCCAGTGCACTTCAGTGCTTCTGAAAACCTGTTGGAGGGTGAGCTATGAGTCGGTTCTGACTCAATGGTACATAACAACAGTGGGTGGAGAATTCAAGTCTTGATCCTTTTGCCTGTTTTATTTCTAATTGAAGTAAACATGACAGAAGCAATACAGGAGAGCTGTAGCTTAATTTTCATTCTGCTACGATTTCATTGTTTGTTAAACAACATCTCTGGCCTTTTTAAATGTTCATTATTCACTACAGGCTTGGGTTAGATAAGCTGCCTCGTCATTCTCTGATCAAATTCCGTTTAGAGGTTAAAATATTCTCCAAGTGGTGGAAATCCAGTTCCATTTATGAGTCAACGCAGTATGAAAATGACCATCCTCAGAGAGAAAATTCCAAATGTTACTAGGACTTTGAGAATGACAACGATGCATTTACTTTCACGGCTTTTACCTTTTACTTTGTAGTGAGCACATCTGAGCGTCCAGGGAAATGTGTAACATCTGCAGAATAATGCGAATCTATTTAATGGATTTGTGTCTTACATTAGCTACTTTTTAATATACACTCAAGAAAGGGATTTAAAGGCTTCATTAAGAATCAATGCATGATTATATGTATCTTTTAGTCCAATGCCAAAAAAAGATCTGTTACTCAGCGTTCAGCTATTTACTGACGGGGTACAAGACAGAATGACAGACTACAATTCCATTCACATAGCTGTAAGCCAATTACGTTCAAGCTGATGATTTAAGAAAACATTTAAGCATTTCTTACCTTAATTTCCAGTACATTTTCATTGCCCATCGAGATCATCACTGGCTTTTCAAAAGGCTTAAACACAGGATTATGTACATAAATGAGATCAAAGTAACTGGAATGGATTCCATCAAACATGAAGAAAGCTCTGGTTTTCAAGGGGAGCTGTGGCTTCAGCTGCTGGAGGGAGGGAGTGGTGCAGCAGATTATCTCTGAATGAGAGCGGTGTTGGCATGCCTGCAATAGGACACAATTACACACTGTAAACAAAAAAAGGGTTGAAATCCACGGCAATCTTTACATTTCAAAATTTCAGACTGTCAAATAAAAGGTGCGATGTTGGGGAAAATTTGCACTTAACTTTCTGATTTCTAGGAATATGAGGAATGCTAAATTATCCAGATAATAAAAAATTAATTTTTTAAAAAGTAGGTTATCTGGATTTACAGAGACTTGGGATTTCCATTCATTCATTGTTGCCCACTCCCCCCACCCCCACCCCCGTTCGTTCTTCTCTTGGAAAAGAAAAAATCTTTCATTGTTTTACATTTCTCCCCCCAAGTCCACTCCACTATGCAACCTTTGTTCTGGACTCCTGTCATGACAATAATACCTAATCATATATACCTTTTAAACAGTTCTCTCTCTCATCTGTTTCAATGCAGTATACATAATTTATTCCATCTTTCTCAGTCTCCCCCCCCCAGCCCCTACGTCAGTCTCGTTTTACAACACTGGCACTATGCCATTTGTCCCTGTGTGACTGAGATATTTCACTCAGCATAAAGTCCTCCAGGTTCACCCATTTTGAATAATATTACATGAGTTCCTGTATTATGTGTTCCAGCGTAGTACTCCATTGTGTGAATATACCACAGTTGCTCTATCCATTTGTTTGTTGATGGGCACTTAGGTTGTTTCCAACTCTTTGCTATTGTGAACAAAGCCATGATAAACATGGGTGTGCACAGATAACACAAATCTTCAGTGGCCTGGCATAAGCCAGGTGGACCTCTCTGAAGTAGACCATTCAGCTTCCTCAGAAAGATTTCAGGAAGCTCAGTGGTGGACCCTGTAGGGAGTTGTATCATTAATCCAAAGGTGACACTTCTCTGGTGGTTTGAACTTAACAATGGCTTTTTCAGAGGAACATGGACGATCTCCTCCTGTGTGATTTACAGCCTCTGAAAATGTGGTGGAGGGTCAGTTCTGAGTTGGCTCTGATTTGACAGTAATGAGCTGGTTTACGTAAAAGAAGACCTTAGCTAGCTTTAAACCAAGCTTGGACAACAAAGCACGTAAGCAGGAACTTGGCTTCCTCATTTGTCGCTGTTGTTAGGTGCTGTCAATTATGACTCTGAGAGACTGATGAACAACAGATCAAAACCTTGTCCTATCCTGAGTCATAGTCACACGCTCCACCATTCATAAGCCCACTGCTGCAGTCATACTCAATCCATCTTACTGAGGATCTGCCTCTCTTTCTCTGCCCCTTTATTTTTCCCAGAAAGATGTTTGGGGTTCCCCCCCCCCACCCAAGGACTGGTCCTTTCTCACAACATGCCTAAAGTATGTGAGATGAAATTTTACCATCTTTGCCTCTAAGAAGTACCCTTCGTCATTTAGAAAGTAAGAACACCAAATTATACACAATATAATACTTGGTGGTAAAGGGCTTTGCAAATGGCCAAGCTCTATACAATTAACATTAACATGAATTCTGTATTTAGGTAACCTCATTAGTATGTTTTAAGCTACTGATTACTGAGCAACATATTCTGTGTACAATGCTTTGCAAGGTTGGCCTCATTTAATTACCAGAAGAGTCCTAGAGCTGTTATAATTACTCACGTCTTACAAATGGAGAATTTGAGTGTTTAAGCTTATGTAATTACTCAAGTCACATAATTGAGCATAAAATCTAAGTAATCTCACCACCAAAATCACAGTTTTAACTCCTAGTTTATTCTGCTCAGTGTTCTGATTATATTAAATGTACCTTAGTAAATATTTTTTTCCAGGTTCTTTATTTTTCACAATGTCTGTGCTATTATTATTTCGTGTTCTTTCATCTCTCAGTTCAAGTATCCTCCCCTGGAATTCTGATTTATGGAATTTTGGAAAGTGTGATTTCCTCTCAACTGTGTTGGGAATTAACCAGCAACACAAAGTGGTACAAATGAGGTTAAATGGCTGAGGTTTTGTGGGTTCCCCCCCTCCCTAAGGAAAAGACAAACAAGCAACAGCATCCCTTTGATTTCCTTTTCTCTGACCAGTTGAGCTGGAGATAAAACAATTACTTCTGTCCACAAGAGAAAAAAAGACTCAGGATATACATAAAAAGCACAAACATGAGATGTGGTATTTGATAAATTAAAAAAAAATCATCCTACATTTAAAAATGTTGTCAACAGATAAAAGAAACTGATCTTTGGACTTCATGTGAATCAGATATTATTTAGTTTTATGACAAATTTAACACTAGCAGTAATTTACTGTTATAATCTTGAATGATGGAAACATGTCATTTTATTAATATCACAGCCATTCTCTACAAAACAAGAAACTTGAAAGCTACATAATAAATGACTGACTTTTGAGATGTATTTGGAAGCAGAAGTGGCATCCAGAATATACATTAAAAACCTTTTTGTTAAGAAGGTATCTTTTTTTGAACCAGTTTAATTTTTAAAGATTTGAGTTTAATGGACTTAAAGAGTTATTTTGGCTAGATCTTGGTCACTAAGACAAAATCAGATCTGACAAAGAGTTTTCATTTGCTAAATTAATAATGGGTCTGGTTCATTATGTCAATCTCAAATTACAAAAGCAGAAGAGAATATGGAAGGAACACATATTTCTCTATGAAGTAATTTTCACAAACTATAGTAAAAAAGACACAAATTTCATTCTTGCCCATTTTGAACACTATTGTGCTAATGCATTTATGGCTAAAAGAACAGATGCTTGAGTCTGTTCCTTAGGCAGTTTCTATTAAATATTTGAAAATAAAAAAAGAGTTTAAAAAGTCCAGAGCATCAAGATGACAACCTTAAATGCCATCATAATGCTAGCAAGAAGAAAGAAGAGAATTTAGTCATTATTTTAATAATATAAGTTAGGTGCTATTAGATAAACTAACACTTGCTCAGATTTCTACTTTCAAAATGTCATATTCCAACATCAAGGAGCATGACTGTTGTGTGTATTTGGTTAACAAGAGCCATTAAGCACGGTTGTGGAGTATTGATGTTCTTTAAATGAATAGCAGTGGTATTCTAACTTTGTTTGTGGCTCTACGTGTTTGTTGGTTTCAAAGCCCTTTACTTCATATGATGACTCCCTGGAGTAGAATCTCTCAGGAACATGATCCAAATTTAATAAGACTCTCTAGAGGTGATGCAATGTGGCTGATTGAGAAGGTCAAGAAAAATCCCATTGGAGATGCCCTTATTGTTTGGTGATTTGGCTTGACATTTTTAGCACAAAATGGCTTTTTGTAATTAAAGAACACTGTGGCTTTAGACTTCCAGCAATACTGGATGAGAATCTAAGCAAAAGTGCTGTAATTCAATCTCTTACTTGCCCAATGAAGACCTGGCTTCAGGAAGGGCAGTTAGAACTTTCATTCTAAGTTGGTGCGCAAGTTTAGCTTGAATATGGTAATTTATTTAGAGACAGAAGCAAAACATTTGGATTCTTTGTAAGTAATTCCAGGCTTATTAAATTCTTAACTGGAATGACCATGAAAATGTGAGGTAGGTATATATATGTGTGTGTATATATATATATGTATACATGTATATATGTATATATATAATTTATATTTTTATATATATAAAAAAATGTGAGGGACCTCTCTAAAGTACTGAAGAGCAACGGTGTGTCTCTGGAGACTAAGGTGCATCTGGTACAGGCCATGGTCTTTGCTAAGAAAACAAATAGATTCAACCTGGAGAGGGTTAAACCGGGCTGCTCCTTGGAGGCAAGGATTCTGAGACTTCGTCTGACATACTTTGGTCATGCTGTAAAGGAGGGATTGGTCCTTGGAGAAGGACATCATGCTTGGGAGGGTGGAGGGGAGCTGCAGGAGGGAAAGGCCCTCTGGGAGGTAGACTGATTCGGGACTGGGGCAATCAGGATGAGTGTGTCGGAGACAATGAGATTGGCACAGGACAGAGCAGAATTTAGAGCTGTTGTACACAGGGTCGCTATGAGTCGCAAGTGACTTGACGGCACATTAACAACAACAAATATATATATTATACATATATATAGTTATATCAGTGAATGCGTCAGTCATTTTTAAGGATTCTGATCACCCTTTTCAAAAAGAAAAGGTGATGAAATCTCAAATAATATACATACTTGAGGATACAAAACCAACTATTCTAATGTTCTTTCTTGTTACTTGATAACAGGACAAGAAGAAGAAGAAGAAAGAGGGGCTATGAGGAAGCACAGTGGATATACCTCCACTTAACAAAGACAAGGATTCAGTGGCAAAACTAGAGGATTAGTCAAGGGTTTTATGAGTGCAAATGGGTTGATCTTCTAGGATGTTTTAAGAATGGGGAGAGAAGAATGTCATTTCCCTTTATACTGACTGCCTTTAAAAATGCTGTCTCAAGTTGATTCTCATGTCTGTTTTATGCAATTTTTATGCAATATTTATAATATCCACACATGTATATATATGTTTCATGTACGTACACACACACACACACACACACACACTCTCCCTGGTACAAAACAGTTAAGCATCTGGCTATTTAAAAGCGTGGTGATTTGTAAATCCATTCTGCCATTGAGTTTACCATGACTCACAGCAACCTTACGAAACTGAACATCCTATGACGTGCAATATTTTGAAAATAGACAAGATTCTCATGAAAACTGACTCAATAGAAATTACTTGTTATATATATGTAAGTATAATGTGTAAGCAGGAGTGGCATCCACTTCCTAAACAGCATGACTCTGGAAACTGTGAACTTTAATAAGTGGCAATGGTTGTGGAAGGGCTTCAGGCCTTTTGTTCATGGGGTCACTATGAGTTGTGCTCAACTTGATGGCAATCAATGAAAGTGTGTAAAAAAAAAAGTATGTGTGTGTATATATATATGTTTAGGTGTGTCTTTATGTGTGTATGTGTGATATGTGTGTGTGTATATGTGTGTGTTTATTTTTATATGTTGTTGTTGTTGTTGCTATGTGCCGTCGAGTCGTTTCCGACTCATAGTGACCCTATGCACAACAGCCCTAAACCCTGCTCTATCCTGCGCCAACCGCACTGCCTCTGACGCACCCATCCC